TCACACACGACAAGATTTAGGGGCTGGAATTGGAAATTGCTCATGAAAATGTCTGAGTCTGTGAAAATAGTGGTGCACAGGAATGGTCAGTGAAGTGAGTGAGTGGAGATTTTGTCCGGATCAGACAAACCAGTTCTGTGATTAAGGAAATCTGCATTTTGAGTTTTTATGATTTTATGTTCACTGTGCAAACTGACCCCTTTGTCCAAATGAAGAATTGCTTGTTCTTTAACTTCTCGAAGTAGTATATATATGCTTTTATGATTCTCTGTTACTGACCCCTTTGTTCAAATGAAGAATTGCTTGTTTTTTAACTTCTCGAAGTAGTATATATATATGCTTTTATGATTTTCTGTTACTGACCCCTTTGTTCAAATGAAGAATTGCTTGTTTTTTAACTTCTCTAAGTAGTATATATATGCTTTTATGATTCTCTGTTACTGACCCCTTTGTTCAAATGAAGGCATTGGTTGTGATTTAGGAGTTTTTATATATCTTATGCTGAACCCAGAACACACTCAATATACTTCTCAAAAGTACTTAAAGAACATCCAATCTTTTCATGTCACTGAACTTAATCTGTTATGGTATAACAAATTGACTTCAGCAGTATGAAAGAATTCTTAAACATATTTTCAGCATTATATCTGGGATTGACAAACTCAAGTTTGTATGAAAAATTCAACAATATGAGTGAGTGAGTTTGGTTTTACGCCGCTTTTAGAAAAATTCCAGCAATATCACGGCGGGGGACACCAGAAATGAGCTTCACACATTGTACCCATGTGGGGATTCAAACCCGGGTCTTTGGCGTGACGAACCAACGCTTTAACCATCAGGCTACCCCACCGCCCCTCAACAACATGAACATCAACTGTCCTGAGAGTGATAATGGTGGGCCCTATGTTTCATTACATAGTATGGAGGACAAAAGTTTCTACACCTTTCATGTCTGACTTTTAAGGTGTTCGCTCATCACACTGAAGACATGTCCCAAGCCGTGATATTGCTGAAATATTGCTAAAAGCAGTGTAAAACTAAACTCACTCACTCACTCACCTGTTAGTATTCTTTCTTTGAAAATACACACCATTCGTGCTTTGTACAATATGGTAGCTATATTAGACAATTAAGGGACTGTGGATAGTCCAGTGAGATAGGTGTTTGCTTGACACACATATGACGGGTTTGATTCCACCATCTGTTTGAAACCCTGTCTTGTGTTTCTTCCTTTGAGATGGTTGGAATTCAGCTTTAAAGATATGCGAGCAAGTATAGTTTTACACAGCTTTAAGTGATACTCCAGCAATATCACGGGGGGACACCTGAAATGGGCTTCACACAATGTGCCCATGTGGGGAATCGAACCCGGGTCTTCAGTGTGACGAGCAAACGCTTTAACCACGAGGCTACCTCACTGCCCTTTAAAGATATGTTACTTTTACACAAACAAATGTGTTCCATGAACAACTGATATGTTATCTTTGTGTTATCAGGAATCAAGTGTCAATATATTGTGTATCCTCAAGCGTAGACATGCAGCTAATAATAATACAGTTTGTCATCACTGATTGGCAAGTATGTATGACAATTTATAGAGTATGTCATTTGTATACAGTTTATAGATAGTTTGTCATCACCAACTGGCAAGTATGTATGACAATTTATAGAGTATGTCACTTGTATACAGCTTGTGATCACTGATTTGTAGGGCTGTGCAATATAACCAGTTTACCGGTATTTACCGGTTCAGACATGAAAGCGATACGTAATGCGATACGCTGTTTGAAAACTGGTATTTTGACTTGCATTCGGAAAACCTCGTAACACTCGGAAATCTTCGGATATTTCCTTGTTTCATTTGTGCCAAATACTATTTACATTTTTATTTTATCATGATTAAAAGTTGTTATTAAAGCTTAATCAAGCATAGTGATTTTGTTGAGTTTTACTATATAAATCAAGCATTAACTCGATTATAAGTAGTTTTTTGTTTAAAAATACTTCATACAATATATTGCTATACATATCGCAATACATGCTTTTCGCAATATATCGCAATATGAAAATTCTCTGCAATACCCACCCCTACTGATTGGTGATAATAACATATTGAAGAGTGTATCAGTTGTGTACATCTGATATTTGACAGATCAACATTGTCATCACTGATGGATGTTTCTGTAGAACACATTATAAAGAGTATATATGGCTAATATCAGCCATATCGACATGTCATCACAGATTGGTGTTTATGTGTAACACATAATGGTGATAATCAGGTATATATGGCTAATATCAGCCATATCGACATGTCATCACAGATTGGTGTTTATGTGTAACACATAATGGTGATAATCAGGTATATATGGCTAATATCAGCCATATCGACATGTCATCACAGATTGGTGTTTATGTGTAACACATAATGGTGATAATCAGGTATATATGGCTAATATCAGCCATATCGACATGTCATCACAGATTGGTGTTTATGTGTAACACATAATGGTGATAATCAGGTATATATGGGTAATATCAGCCATATTGACACGTCATCACAGATTGGTGTTTATGTGTAACACATAATGGTGATAATCAGGTATATATGGCTAATATCAGCCATATCCGACATGTCATCACAGATTGGTGTTTATGTGTAACACATAATGGTGATAATCAGGTATATATGGCTAATATCAGGTATATATGGCTAATATCAGCCATATATATAATATCAGCCATATAATATCAGCCATATCCACATGTCATAACAGATTGGTGTTTATGTGTAACACATAAAGGAGAGAATCAGCTACACGTTGCTGATATCTCCCACATCGACATTGTATCATCACAGATTGGTGTTGTGCATTACAAGCTTGATACTGATACCACATAATGACTGTATCGCAGATCCAGAGCCCAAATGTTCCACGTTCTGCCTGACGTGTCTCCACATTTCTACCTGAGTCCGTTACAGATCAGTTGCGCTATTGTATTGCCACATGTAAACAACCGTTGTTACCGGGCTAACTAGATCAAATCTCAATCAGGAAATGTGATATTGTGGCTTTATGCTATGCAGCCATTATTGTAAACACTGTGGGTCTATTTACTGTTTGTCTTCGGGTGTTTGTTGGGGTAATAGGTTGTCCTGTGCTGCATGGACAAGAAGCCATGTAGAATAGTGCTACATATTGTAGTTGATTGACTCAATTCCGCCCTGGCTTTCTTACTGTGGGAGTTTATATTTGGCGTTGAACTGGGCTTACTGTCCTGGAAACTAGACACGGGGCAACTGGAAGTCTTCGCAGATTTGATTCAGGTCATTCAACATTCTCTTTGTTAGACTATGTTAGGCTTTGTTAAGCTGTGATGTCTACTACGCAAAAGACGTCAAGGAACACCCAATTTTTTCATATTACTATAGTTCATTTGTCATGCTGTCAAGAATTAACAATACTAATCTGAAATGGTCAGGTGTTCTTTAATTCATTTCAGTAGTATGTTTGAGCAGTTGTATGTAGGGACCAACCATTTGTAAATAATGTCACTATTTTACAAATTTAATAATTGAATATTAATAGTATAAACAATTGAAAAAAATATTTTTGCGTGATATTTGGGACGTCTAAAATCAATTAAGTTAATTTTCTCCTTTAACTGGAAATATTCATGCTTTTTTAAAAAATGTCACGTCTGTTAACCAAATCCTGCTCCCTGAAAACTAAATGGTGTCTCCCTTACCCTAAATAAACAAATATGATGTGTCACTTTGACACCACTCACTATTTACATCCCCCTTAAAGTCCCAGTACATTTGTTAGGCACTATCCCCAATCCACGATGTTGCTGTAAGCACACATAATCATTATGATAAAATGATGAGAGGTATTTGTGACAGAGATGAGTTTTATGTATGCGGGTTTGAACACAGAAATGGAGAGTTTGTGAATTTAATTGGGAGAGTGTTCCACAGAGGAGGACCACAGTATGATCTTTGTATTCAAAGGTCTGGAGATTGACACTTAGAACAGAAAGATTGATTTTTGTGGGGTTCATGAAAGAGCTGAACTTGTATGGCCTGCATGGTGCCAAGATTTCCTCTTCTATGAACATGGCTTAACATGAGATAACTGGAATCGTGTAAAATGATGGTAAAGTTCGCTCGCTCGACATTCTGAACAAATGACTAGGTGAACCAGATGTAGTCTTGTGGTAAAAGCATTTGCTCATCCCACTGAAGGCCAGGGTTCTATTCTCCACATCGATTAGTGGCAGTTGGGTAGCCTAGTGGTTAAAGTGTTCGCTCATCACGCCAAAGATCTGGGTTCGATTCCCTACATAGGTACAATGTGTGAAGCCCATTTCTGGCGTCCCCAGACATGATATTGCTGGAATATTGCTAAAGCAGCTTAAAACTAACCTCACTCCCTCCTCGTGGATACAATGTTCACATGACACATGTCATTGGTTCCCAATTGCATAGATTGATGCTCATGATGTTGATCACTGGATTGTCTGGTCCAGATTGTTTACAGACCGCTGCCATATAGCTGGACTATTGCTGACTGCGGTGTTAAACAACAAACCAACATATATTCCTCACTGTGAGGTCATATCTTATTCATGCCCTCAGTTTGGAAACATTTGTTGAGAACAGTTTAACAAAAGAAAATTCAAAAAGAATTCAACGCACATGTATTTCCTTCATTTCGTTCCTTTTTAGAGCTACTGGTTTCTGTAAGGTACAGAAATATGTGCTCTTGAAATGTCTTTCAAAGCAAAGGTCAATAACAGGAGACAAAATATGTGGCCTTTGAAATTGCGATCCTGTATGTTTTTTTCTTCAACGCTGAGACACATTTTCAGATATGGATATCTTCAAATTCCAGTCAACTATAATTGGAAATGTTCCTTACTCAAATTAATCCTCCTAATGTTGTATAAATAGCTATGTTCTGTCAGATGATTTAATCATTGTGTTGGTGTTTCAGGATTTAGAAGAGGTGGTGGTTGAGAAGGCGAGCGTTGTGTACGACGATGTTCTAACCAGACTTCTGAGGTACTCGCTTGATGACAACAACATATTGTAAGTATGAACTATGAATTAGTGATTCAGATGTCATCACCTAAGCTTTTGTTTCATATCAAGCTGCTATTCTGTTATGGAACTGAGATGTGTTTCTCAAAACCATCTTAAACCACCCACTTGCCCACCTGATCTCGATGGCTTGAACAATCATTCTCATTGCATGGCAATTTGGTTACTCATCCTACCACTCACTCACTCACTCACTAAATCCCATTCACTCCTACCCAATTACTCAACCAATAGCCACTCACTCACTTATACACCTGCCCAGCATCTAACTTGCCCATCCAGCCTCTTGCCCACCCAGCTAAACCCTCCCTCACTCACTTTCCCACCCACTTGCATATCCACTTGCCCACCCTGCCACTCGCTCACTTGCCCACCCAGTAACTCATTTGCCCACCCAGGAACTCGCTCACTTGCCCACCCAGGAACTCACTCACTTGCCCACCCAGGAACTCACTCACTTGCCCACCCAGGAACTCGCTCACTTGCCCACCCAGGAACTCGCTCACTTGCCCACTCAGCCACTCACTAACTTTCCCACCCAGCTGCACACTTACAGCCCACCCAACTGCTAACTCAGTAGCTCCCCTTGCTACTCCTTCACTTACCCACCCAGCCACTCCTTCACTTACCCATCCAGCCACTCACTCACTTTCCAACCCAGCCACTCATTCACTTGCCCACCCAGCCACACGTTCACTTGCCCACCCAGCCACCCATTCACTTGCCCACCCAGCCACTCACTCACTTGCTCACCCAGCCACCCACTCCCTTGTCTACCCAGCCGCTCATTCACTTGCCCACCCACCCAGCCCACCCACCCAGACACACTCACTGCCCACCCAGCCTTTCCACTTGCCCTTGCCCACCCAGCCACCCCACCCAGCCACTCACTCACTTGCCCACCCAGCCTTTCATTCACTTGCCCACCCAGCCACTTGCCCACCCACCCACTCTTCACTTGCCCACCCAGCCCGCTCACTCACATTCCTTGCCCACCCAGCCACTCACTCACTTGCCCACCCAGCCACTCATTCTCACCCAGCCACTCACTTGCCCACCCAGCCACTCATTCACTTGCCCACCCAGCCCAGCTGCCCACCCAGCCACCCCAGCCACCCAGCCACTCTCACTTGCCACCCAGCCACTCATTCACTTGCCCACCCAGCCACTCACTCACTTGCCCACCCAGCCGCCCTCACTCACTTGCCCACCCAGCCACTCATTCACTTGCCCACCCAGCCGCTCATTCACTTGCCCACCCAGCCGCTCACTTCTTCACATCCAATCCTGCTGACGCTGCAGGATGCTCGATGTAGATAGGAGGGGTTCTCATATTTCCCAGATCTACCATTAGGGTATTTGTACAGAAAGGTTGGGTGCAACCAGGTCAGACAGGGTGTCTTCAATCCAACCACGCCGTGTTCATACGTAAAAATGAGTCAGTGAGTCCTTTAAAGTTAGTATAGATAATCTAAGTTGGTCTAAGATTCGAAATGATTCCACATCACTCCCTCAAGTTTGAACATATTCAGGATGTATAAATATCATAACACAGGTGACGTCACATGTGGTATAACTTGGATATCTTACAATGCAGTAATTTGGTAGGTTATATTTTATTTTGTACCAAATAGCAGGAACCAATCAAAACTTGTGTTACTTATGAAGCGGCCTCTGTACAGAGGATGTTATCATACTCCAGATACACCCAAGGATTAGGATGATGGATTGGTCTGTATTTGTCTTGTTTACAAGGTGCCTCAAATTTAGAATATTTGTGTTAGCAACTTTCTCGCATACATTTTCTGCTGTCAAATTGTACTTGGAGCTGAGTTAATCATCAGGGTTAATCAGTACATATACATTATTTTACTGTGTTTCTTCATAATCTGTCATTACAAAACGGAAAAACAAGTAATAATTCTTATGAATATGTAAACCCCTATTACATCAATGCCTAAATTCTGTATTTTTTTCTGTCATCACATGATAAAGAGATAGGTTTTTTTCTAAATGTCCTCTTCACTTACAACTTTACAAAATAAGTTGTGCATGTTATAGTATCTTGCTACCCGTACTGGGCCTCTTTCCAGCATCAGTTATTCCAGATCCAGAATATTGGAAGGGCTAGTGTGGTAATCTTTGAGTGAGTTAGTATTGTTTTAAGCCAGCCACTAGCAATATTCAGCCAGTATCACAGTAGGGGACACCAGAAATGGGCTTCAGACATTGTACCCATTTGGGAAACCAAGGCCGGTCTTTGGTGTGATGAGCCACCACTTTAAATACCAGGTTACTTCACTGCACCTAGTATTCTTTAAAATATCAACAATGATGTCTCATTTCTGCTGATGTTGAACTGATAAGATAACAAGGAATATGTTGAAGAAAGTTTCACCTTCAACATTGAATGTTCTTCAGCCCACTGAGTTTTATTCTATATTATTTGGGGAAGATCTCAATTGTACCTTAATAAATAGCCAATTGCAAACATGTATTCAAAGTGACGTTACAAATCCAGATGCTCCAAATCTAACTTGGCTCAGAATTTGTTTTGCTCATCAGATGAAGTTGATTGGACTGCTAATTTTAGAGTCGTACCATTGGAATTGAAATATGTTACATCAACAATCGAGCCCATGGTACCCATCATAAGAGAATCAACTGACTGAGTTTGGTTTTACGCCGCTTTTAGCAATATTCCAGCAATATCACGGCGGGGGACACCAGAAATGGGCTTCACTCATTGTACCCATGTGGGGATTCGAACCCAGATCTTTGGCGTGATGAGCCAACGCTTTAACCACTAGACTACCCCACCGCCCCATAAGAGAATCAAGGTATGATACATTGGACCATTGAGGAGGATGAGTAAGAGGCGACTAACGGGATCGGGTGGTCAGGCTCGCTGACTTGGTTGACACATGACTTCGGTTCCCAAAGGCGCAGATCGATGCTCATGCTGTTGATCACTGGATTGTCTTGGTCTTTTTACAGACTGCCAACATATAGCTGGAATATTGCTGAGTGCGGCGTAAAACTTAACTCACTCACTCACTCACTCATGAGTAAGTCAGTTATTTATATGTTAGCAAATGTTAATTTATTTTTAAAAATAATACAGATGGAGTGATACTGTCAGTCTTTGACTATGGTGATGAGTCCAAATTCTGTTTGACCTGTGGGCTCTGCAGGGTTTGGGTTTATTGAAGCAGGGAGATGTCGCAAGAAAGATTCGTATGAAACTTGACGTCACTCTGTGTCCATTAACAATCCTCATAGGCTTTCGTTAAATGTTGAGGAAGCTTGTCTTTTTTGCCTTGCTGTTTGGTCTAAAAGTGGGCTCAGATTTATTTTGGGTAATCATGTTGTTTTGATCCATATGGCAACATGGCCCAAAAATGTCTTCCAGAAGAGTCATGTTGGGCAGCTTTACAATTGACTTTTTAAATTTTGAATAAAATTATCTCCTTTAAAAAGTTTCTGAACTCAAAGCTCGAATTGTTAATTCTAAACCTATGGCAATTTAGGAGAGTGCATGAAATCCTTATTCTGAAAATAAATTGGAATGCAGCTTGTTAATTATATACCTGAAAACCTGATCATTACTCTTAAACATAGACACAAGCAGAGGTTCAGTGATAAAATGGTTTTGAAGTATCCCTTTACTGAATTCCGATTCCAACCAGTTGAAAAAAACACTCTCTGATTTAAATCTGAAATTTCTAGCCTGCACATTCCCAAAGGTTGAAGGCAGCAGTGTATAGAGAAGACACATAGGATTTGTCTTCAACAAATTCCAGGAATCATTCTGACCGATTCCAAAATTATTCTGATTTGAATCTGCAGAATTTGAAAGAAATGGGAGCGTTAGGACAAGCAGTGTTGATGGACGAGGAAGGGCTCTAGAGGCTAGCGATACTGCCAGTAATCTAATCATGTTCGTATTTGTGGGGGAATCGATGGCACACAAGCAAAAAGTATTTAATATGGCGAGGACTGTTTCGTAATCAGCGTCTCATTTGCTTAAGTCTTGGAGAGCTGGTGCGCGGGTGGAAATGTCACCATTGTTCAAGCAGTAGGAGTGTGGGGGATGTACTGGAAAGTAAGGCGGAATAATTGGAGCCTGTCACAGGCATGTTTCAATGTTGTATTCTCTTTTATTTCATTAAGCTTATGCATGCTGATGTGGTTGATAACTGTGACAGGTGCTGTATCGGTGTATTATATGTTGTGGATATATGTTTAGTTAAGTAATCCCCGAAGTAACAGACTTCATGAAATTGATGTCTGATGTCGAAGTGTTTGGAATATTATAGTCTTTAGTTCATATATGTGATTCTAATATGTAGATAAGCTGTGACAGAACCGAGAAGCACTACACTGGTGATGCAGTATAATTTTTATCACCACACTGGTGACACAATACAATATTACCACTACATGGGTGATGCAGTACAATTTTACCACCACATGAGTGATGCAGTACAGTTTTACCACTACATGGGTGATGCAGTACAATTTTACAACACTAGTGATGCAGTACAATTTTACCACTACACTGGTGGCGCAGTACTAATTCTACCACTACACGGGTGACGCAGTACAATTTTATCACAACACTGGTGATGCAGTACAATTTTACCAATACGCTGGTGATGCAGTACAATTTTACAACACTAATGATGCAGTACAATTTTACCACTACGCTGGTGATGCAGTACAATTTTACAACACTAATGATGCAGTACAATTTTACCACTACGCTGGTGATGCAGTACAATTTTACAACACTAGTGATGCAGTACAATTTTACCACTACGCTGGTGATGCAGTACAATTTTACCACTACTGGTGATGCAGTACAATTTTACCACTACGGCTGGTGATGCGTACAATTTTACACACTTGATGCGTACCTGGGTGATGTACAATTTTACCAACACTAGTGATGCAGTACAATTTTACCACTACGCTGGTGATGCAGTACAATTTTACCACTACGCTGGTGATGCAGTACAATTTTACCACTACATGCAGGTGATGCAGTACAATTTTACCACTACACTGGTGATGCAGTACAATTTTACCAACACTGGTGATGCAGTACAATTTTACCACTACGCTGGTGATGCAGTACAATTTTACCACTACACTGGTGATGCAGTACAATTTTACCACTATGCTGGTGATGCAGTACAATTTTACCACTCACTTGGGTGATGCAGTACAATTTTACACCACTATGCAGGTGATGCAGTACAATTTTACCACTACACTGGTGATGCAGTACAATTTTACCACTACACTGGTGATGCAGTACAATTTTACCACTACACTGGTGATGCAGTACAATTTTACCACTACACTGGTGATGCAGTACAATTTTACCACTACGCTGGTGATGCAGTACAATTTTACCACTATGCAGGTGATGCAGTACAATTTTACCACTACACTGGTGATGCAGTACAATTTTACCACTACACTGGTGATGCAGTACAATTTTACCACTACACTGGTGATGCAGTACAATTTTACCACTACACTGGTGATGCAGTACAATTTTACCACTACACTGGTGATGCAGTACAATTTTACCACTACGCTGGTGATGCAGTACAATTTTACCACTACACTGGTGATGCAGTACAATTTTACCACTACACTGGTGATGCAGTACAATTTTACCACTACACTGGTGATGCAGCACAATATTTACCACTACACTGGTGATGCAGTACAATTTTACCACTACTGGTGATGCGGTACAATTTTACCACTACACTGGTGATGCAGTACAATTTTACCACTACACTGGTGATGCAGTACAATTTTACCACTACACAGGTGATGCAGTACAATTTTACCACTACACTGGTGATGCAGTACAATTTTACCACTATGCAGGTGATGCAGTACAATTTTACCACTACACTGGTGATGCAGTACAATTTTACCACTACACAGGTGATGCGGTGATTTGCACTACACTGGTGATGCAGTACAATTTTACCACTACGCTGGTGATGCAGTACAATTTTACCACTCACTGGTGGTGATGCAGTACAATTTTACCACTACACTGGTGATGCAGTACAATTTTACCACTACGCTGGTGATGCAGTACAATTTTACCACTACACTGGTGATGCAGTACAATTTTACCACTATGCTGGTGATGCAGTACAATTTTACCACTACACTGGTGATGCGGTACAATTTTACCACTCACGCAGGTGATGCAGTACAATTTTACCACACTGGTGATGCAGTACAATTTTACCTGGTGGTGATGCAGTACAATTTTACCACTACACTGGTGATGCAGACGCTGGTGATGCAGTACAATTTTACCACTACACTGGTGATGCAGTACAATTTTACCACTGCACTGGTGATGCGGTACATTTTTACCACTACACTGGTGATGCAGTACAATTTTACCACTACACTGGTGATGCAGTACAATTTTACCACTATGCAGGTGATGCAGTACAATTTTACCACTACACTGGTGATGCAGTACAATTTTACCACTACACTGGTGATGCAGTACAATTTTACCACTACACTGGTGATGCAGTACAATTTTACCACTACACTGGTGATGCAGTACAATTTTACCACTACACTGGTGATGCAGTACAATTTTACCACTACACTGGTGATGCAAGTACATGTTACCACTACACTGGTGATGCAGTACAATTTTACCACTACACTGGTGATGCAGTACAAGTGATGACAATTACTACACAGTGATACAATTATGTTAAGGCACTACACGGGTGATGTAATACATATATTATGTACACAGGCACTACATTACAGGTGATACAATTATGGCAAGGCACTACACAGGTGATGCAATACGATATAGCACTACACAGGTGATGCAATACGATATAGCACTACACAGGTGATGCAATACGATATAGCACTACACAGGTGATGCAATACGATATAGCACTACACAGGTGATGCAATACGATATAGCACTACACAGGTGATGCAATACGATATAGCACTACACAGGTGATGCAATACGATATAGCACTACACAGGTGATGCAATACCATATAGGACTACACAGTTGATGCAATACAATACATTATACACATGTGATATGATAGATATTAGGACTACATTTTACAAGAAAATTTTAACAGAGGCCAAGATAATCGCATTATCCGAGGCAAGATCCGGCGAAAATAGAAAAATTTCCAATTACGCATTGAAAAATAATTGTTGCGTACCAATTACGCATTTAAAATGTTAGATACGCAAAAAGTTTAAAACAAATGTGTACGGAATATATTTATAAAAATCGCTTGTGTAATGAAAAAGACATCGATTGCTATCAAGTTGTACTTTTAGTATAGGACTAGTGTTGTACTGTCAGTATAGGATGAGTGATTTTTTATGAAATCATTTCCATTATATTTCAGTTGGTTTTGCTTAGGTATGACATAGCAGAACATACCTGTTTAATAAACTTACTCAATGACATAATACTTAGGTGAGTAAAATGACTGAAATACGCACATATTTGAAAGCAGTGGGTAACTGAAAATGAAATACCCACTCAACATTCATAATACCCACTCCAAAAAAATACAGTGGGTACAGTACCCACATGTGCTAAATCTTATCTGGAGCTCTGAATACAAACTGATAATCGTGATGAAGTGAAGCATACTCGAGCTATATGGTTGGCTGTAGTAGGACCAATGGGATTTTGAAATTCTACAATTTGGCAAATCGAGTTTCAGTTCTTTGCAGTGAAGAGTCAATTTACACCCGCCTGGGTGCAGTAATCCTCGGGAGACTCATACCTACTTATGATCTGACAGAAAGCATGGGAAACCGCAATACTCCGGGTTACTGTACAGTTGTGCATCAGGCTGCAACTCTGTGTGATTACAGAAGTCACACGAGGGACGAAGATGTTTTTGCTGCTCAGCAGTTAATTACTTTGAGTGACCTTAAGCTTTAGGCTGACGGTAAATGTATTGAGATAGGTAAATATTTTATCTTCTAACTGGAATTTGCATTGTATTGCTGCCTCAAACAAGCCATTTGCCTTGTGCATAGTGTATCATGAAGGATTAATCATGGAAGTAGTCGTGAAATTACGCCTGATCTTCCACGTTCTTCTTTCCTTCCTTCATCCTCTCAGACGAACAGACACATATACTTCATCAAACTTTGCTTGGATTAGACGAGATCTATGTGTTTGTATTTAGTCTCGTGCTTATTATGGTGTTTAATGTAACTCGCCTTTTGTATATTCTTCCTTCCTCATTTTCTTCCTCTTCCTTCTTTACTTCCTCTTCCATTCTGTATATTCTTCCTCCTCCCATTCCCACAACATTGTAAGGATATAGCGTTTAATATTCAGAATCACTTAACTTAGTATATTGTTCATTTCAGGATTTCAAATTTTGAAAGTTCCCTGTCCAAGTTGATCTCTGAGAAGGATGAAAAAGATGAAAATCACAACCTTCTGAAATCAGGAAGTCTTTCTGACAGCTCTCCAGAAGAAAAGGTGAGAAAAGACAGGAATATTTCTAGGTTCATTGTTTGGTTTTGATTTCATTACATTTTCAGCAGGGAACAGCACCTTCCATTTTCTAGCAGAAGTGTCTGCTCTGAAAGTGAAAGTGGAAGGTTCTGTGGTCAGATCTCCAGTGAAAGACAACAAATAGTACCTTCAGTATTAGTGCAATAAAAGCACAATAAAAACAATACAACCTGTATATGCAGCCACACACTCCTCCATAACGATGCTTCGCTCGTCACGCCGAAGACCCGGGTTCGATTCCCCACATGGGTACAATGTGTGAAGCTCATTTCTGGTGTCCCCCGCCGTGATATTGCTGGAATATTGCTAAAAGCGGCGTAAAACCAAAACCACTCACTCACTCACTCCATAACGATGCTGTATTCATGTCATAATGTTGAATGTGATGTAAAACACTTTCATCTTGCCTCCATTTACTACTTAGAATTGGTCCTCTGCAACACATGCTTGTCGTAAGAGGCCACTCCATAGAGCTTGAATATTGTTGAGTGCGGCTTAAACAAGCCAACCATAAGAGGCGACTAACGGGATGGGGTGGTCAGGCTCACTGACTTGTTGACACATGTATCCCAATCGCTTAAATCAATGCTCATGCTGTTGATCACTGGATTGTCTGGCCCAGACAGATTATGTATAGACTGCCACCATAAAGCGGTGTTAAACAACATACAACAACCACTTCTGTTGGATTAAAAGAAGCGTTTACAAAAAGGGATTTTTAAAAAAAAAAAATTATAACTTTATTTCTTTTTGATCTGGGTACAGCATATCATGCACATTTAACAAGTCAGCATTTTTGTTGCTTTATATAGGAGTCAAATTACAAAGTCATTATCTATGTAAATAGTACAAATAGGGATCTTAGTTGGGGTGAATGGTAAATGATACTATCGCTGGATTATGTAGGCCAAATGAGATTATTTAGCGACTGCTATGAAGCTGGAATATTGCATTGTTCAACTACAAATAGAGGATGCGATTGTTTATCCTGGAGTTGCTAGGTGCCTTGTCTATCACAAATACACCTTGAATGTGTGAACAATTGTTTGTTTCCATGGTAATAATAAATGTCAAGCTCTGAAAATATTGTATACTTATGAAATACATAAGGTAATGATGGCATGTTATCTATTTACGGCATTATTCAGGAGAATTTAAGTTTGAAACTGCTAAACACATGTCAACCTGTTAAACTTGGTTTTGTGAGTCATGGTCAGTAACCTCAGTGTATGGACACGTAACAGTTTATATTTGATTCCCAGTATGTATATATGTTTCAACCCCATTCGTGGTGTCCCTTGTGAAAGCTGAAGAGAACTGCACTCCTCCAATATCTGTCATTATACAATGAACACTTATTGCTCTAAAATGCATCTGGTAATGTACATTGAGCCAAACTCCATCATGCCTTTGTCAAGGGAGATAACCCTGTGATCATATTTTTCTCCAGCTTCGAGTGGTCAAGTGGGTGGTGGACGAGGCCTTTAAGAGGAAGGGAGAGGATTTAGAGGACTTTCTGAATGATTACTACACTCCAGATCAGCTGGTAAGTAATATTTATCTTACGTCAGCAATGGAGTCACCAAGCCTCCATCTTTAAAAAGTTGGGATCTGAAGAGGAACCACTTTTTATGGATAGACAACTTCTTTATTCCAATAGATGCGACATTTTGGTGTAGGTGCTTACACTAAAGAAGTTGTCTGTCCATACAAAAATTGTTCCTCTTCATCATACCAGCTTCTAAATGCCACTCAAAGAAGAAAGTAGGGATCTGTTGGGGATTACAGTTGAGGTCCACAGTAACCTGGGCTTGGTTTGAGAGGATGGGATTGGATTGGATGTCCTTGTACTCTGATGGCCTGAATTGTTGCTCAATTATTTATTGTTTGCTGTCATATAACCACAGTATGCAAAAGAAGTTAAGGATCAACGAGTTCTTCAAAACTACTGTATTGAGTGAGTGAGTGAGTTTAGTTTTACGCCGCACTCAGCAATATTCCAGCTATATGGCGGCGGTCTGTAAATAATCGAGTCTGGACCAGACAATCCAGTGATCAATAGCATGAGCATCGATCTGCGCAATTGGGAACTGATGACGTGTCGACTAAGCCAGCGAGCCTGACCACCCGATCCCGTTAGTCGCCTCTTACGACAAGCATGGGTTACTGAAGATTCATTCTAACCTGGATCTTCACGGGTCTACTGTATTGTATTTTTTGTTTCGTGACTATAGTGACGCTAACCATAGGGTTACCCATGTGGGGAATCGAACCTGGGTCTTCGGCATGAAGAGCAAACACTTTAATCACTAGGCTACCCCACCGCCCCGTCTTGTCGAGAGATGAATGTGTCCATGTCAAAAGTTGGCTAGTATATATTTACCAGCATATAGTTTTAAGTTTCTGTCTATTGTCTCCAGTGCTCAAGGAATACATGACCTGGCTGACTCCTGTCTGCCCGGTGGAGCATTTTGATGAGATGATCATCAAACAGGGCAATATGTCTAGTTTCTGATGAGAAACAGGTTGTTTAGAAACACGGCAACAATTACTATGTTTTTTAAGAATTATGTAAATGCAGGACTTAACTTTATATTCATTGTGAGTATTTGTTCTTCATTGATCTGGCGCATGTCTAGTCAATTATCCTTTTCCATCCCTATTGATGATTGATTGACTATTTGATCAATTGCTCCGTTGGTAGTAGTCATTTTACCTATCACAGTTGTCGTTAACCTGCAAACATTTTCAGTGGAAATGATGCATCTAGAGAGTCATTGCCTGGAGATGTGTGCCCGTCTTCAGGGTTTCTGTCTGGTATATATTGACATTGGTGCTGTTCTTTACTCTCTGAAAGGATGGTCCCAAAGGGAGACTACTCCATGGTCTAGTGCTTATTGCTAGTGCTTATTGCTAGTGCTTGGTCTTGAATTCGAACTTGATTGAACTGCTTTATTAATATTCATATACAAGTTGGGTGGGCAGATGGTAGGTGTGGAAAAAAATTGTATCTGCACAGGTGGCCTTGGAAGGATAACAATATATGGATGAACAACTTTGTTATTACGGTGAGAGAGATGTTTTGGTGTAGGTTCCAACACCGTTATCAAGCACTTACTTAAACATTGCTCTCACTGTAATAAAGAAGTTGGTCATCTGTATATTGTTATCTTCCCAAATGCTTCTCAAAGATGTTCACTCACTCACTCACTCACTCACTCTCACTCTGTCTTCTATTTGCTGGGATTGCATGTTAGTTATATGCCTTGTCTTGGATAGGTCATACGGAAATTTTATTTGGCCTTTGTAATTGGCCTGTTGGGAATGATAGGATGCATATACTTTCCTGGGTCCAGTTATGTTAAGGGGCAGTTGGATAACCTTGTGGTTAAAGTGTTTGCTCATCACGCTGAATAAACAAGTTTAATTCCCTACATCAGTACAATATGTGGAGCCCATCTTTAGTGTGCCCTACCATGATATTGTTGAAATATGGTCATGTAAAACCATACTGACTCACTTTTTTCTTAATGTTTTAAACTCACTTTTGTTCATAATTTTATTTTAAACCAGTGAGTTGACAGTTTTCAATATGTTTCTATAAAAGGATGTTCCAGGTGACCTCCAGTCTGTATCTGTTCATGAACTTATCCGAGTGTCGTACGTTTTCACTTTTATCATTACACAGTGATAAATGTGTAAGTTACAAGGACTGGGAGGCAGCATTTGTGCCCATTATTCTTTGTTGTAGAGTTCATGAATTACTGATCCCTGCAGTGGTACTGGGATGACAGATCAGTAAAAGGATGACACATATGCATTTGGTACATAATGAATTTGTGATGGTTATTTCTTTTGCCGTTCCTGCAGATAAGGACCAAAGCTTTGGCTCTGAATATGTATGATTTCAAGAGCAATTAAACTCCATTTGAGGTGGGGGATTCAGAACTTGCTTCATCTGGAGGGGCGGTGGGGTTGCCTAGTGGTCAAAGTGTTTGCTTGTCACACTCAAGACCTGTGTTCGATTCCCCACATGGGCACAATGTGTGAAGCTCATTTCTGGGGGTCTTTCCCCTCCCCCCACCCCCCTGTGATATTGCTGTAATATTGCTAAAAGTGGTGAAAAACTAAACTCACTCACTCACTCACTCAGAGCTTTAATATTACAGTAGGGCATGGTGGAATGGAAAGTAATTTTTTGTTCAGCGACTGTGAGAATTATAAACAGCTTATCAACTTATCAACACTGGTATCAACTTATGAACTGTTTCAGAAATTAATACCAATTTCCTCATGGTATTGTCTATAATACCTGTAGGAAGTGTTTTAGCAGTTGTGTCAATGAAGGCCGAGTTGACAATCATGTACTTGCTCAGGTATTGAATATCATTATTTCTTTATTAATGCACCTGTCAATGATCTAGCTGTTGAGCGGAGGGGTAGCCTAGTGGTTAAAGTGTTCACTCGTCATGACCTGGGTTCGATTCCCCACGTGTACAATGTGTGAAGCCCATTTGTGGTGTCCCCTGCTGGAATATTGCTAAAAGAGGCGTAAAACCATACTCACTCACTAGCTTGGTAACTTGTGGTGTAACAATTCTGTGATACAATTTTGTATTTTATGACAAGATTTTTTTGTAAAATTCATGGATGTACAATCCTTATATGGTGTTTTCAATGATAGTTGGTCATTTCACACAAACACAACCTTTCTTGGAAGCGATTGCTTAACCGGTTATGTAAGGCTTCTGTTGATTGGCCTTTCATTTTATCATTAGCCAATCAGAAATCTGCTCTCAAAATAAACAAGTTTAAGGTATCTTGAACTGCCTGTTCGCCTAGCTGGCAAAAGAACACGCTCTTACAAAAGATAACAAACACAGTAAGCCAACAATTTATATTGGATGTTTTATTATGCCATATTCAAAGTGTTCCCGCTAGTATGAAACAGTAAATATCAAAACAAAACAAATACGTGTTTACGTTCGTCATGTTACAGTGTTGAACAGTCACGACATTGATATACCCAATACCGATACGTACGGGGAAAGGGGCCGACTTATACTTGAGTTACATGGTTTTGGCAAGAATTTAGAGGGTTGAGAAAGGGGCCCGACTTATAGTCGGATCCAACTTATAGTCGGTCATATACGGTACAATATGACAGATTAAAAGTTATTTTTAAGTAAAAGTGTGAATGAATAACAGATTTAAAATGCTAAACCAAACTTTTGAACAATCTAGTATTTCCCAATTTTCTAAAAATAGGGTAACTTTCACAATGTAGGTTATGCTTCTTTTCTACAATATCCCATCTTAAATCTCAGAAATTTGAAACAAATGATTCAGAGTTGTGCCTCATCTGCAAAAAGAAAGAATATCAAGTTATAAAAATGAAGGATAGTATATGGATATGAATCGTATCACACTGACAGTATCGGGATACGAATTGTATTGCGACCCCACCTTACCGTGGACGTCCAGCGTTGTAGATGTTCCATCATTAGGCTGAAGACAACACCAGTCCAGCCACTCGATGAGTGGTTACTCTCCTGCTTAAAGAGATACAAATATAGACCCTGGGGACACATCATTCAACAATCGGCCACCAAGTTCTGTTTCATATTCTAACATTTTATAACACCTCCGAGTCTCATTTCCAGTGCAGTGAAGATATTTGAAAGAAAGGATTGTTTGAAAACACATATGCATGATCTCTGACTCTTTAGTGATATATAGTGGAAACTCATTTATCTACATCCAGTTACCATGGAAACCTGGCTGGTAGAATGTTTACAGTTGAGAACAAATGATCTACTTTGGATGACAATTTTCCTCATCTGAGGGTTCGGAAGCGAGATGAATGGCATCGGTGAAGGATTAAATTGCCGATGGACTCATATCTTTGCTGTTCATTCGCCTTTCTATAATCTCAAAATTTCAGTAGTACAGACATTATGAATTATAAGTTATTACTCTGTCCCACGTTTTGTTTTTATCAGTCCTCAGTATTGACACTGCTGTACACTATAAATGCAAGGGTTTGATTCACCAGGACTGCAGTTTACTGGGAAACTACTACTTCCAAGGACAGGGTGGGAAGCCTAGTGGTTAAAGCATTTGCTCATCACATGGAAGACCCAGGTTTGATTCCCATGTGGGTACAATGTGTGAAGCCCATTTCTGTTGTCTCCTGCCGTGATAATGCTCGAATATTGCTAAAAGAGGAATAAAACACACTTCTGTTAAAGTTTGTTATCCATGAAGATATAGCATAAATGTTGCCTACAGATTTTAAACTGCAATCTCCCAATCATTCTTCCTTCAGTCTGGTATTTATGACTGTATGCTTGATATTATATAGTGTACATTAGCTGTGACAGACTAACTATTGTAAAGACTGAAAAAAAGACTGGGATGATCCTTATCTCTTCTTGAGTAGGATATATATATGTGTGTATGCTTGGTATCTGGTACTTTGATACAGTATCGCTTTAAACGGCGTGAACGTACACACTCACCAGAAATGGCTGCAAAAGCAATAAT